CCGCCAGCCGCGGCCGTTCACTGCTAGACCAGCTCCACTGCGCAACACGTAACCATAGCAACGCCGCCATTGTGTCAAGTCAATGCCTCTTCTAGATAGATTCAAGTCAATGCCTCTTCTAGATAGATTCCTGAGGAATGGCTCGCGCTCCCAGTGGAGTTGGCCTGCCTTCAGTTTTAAACAAACTCCGCGCGGTAGCACTTGCGACTGACAATATCATTTAGTAAGAAAAAATCAGCAGTCATGATTTTTAATGACAACGAAGGTAGTGAGCTTAGAATACAGGAGGTCACGCTAGAGATAACAGATAGATACAAATATCTGGGCGTATGGATAAGCAATGGGACCGAGTACCCGAGGGAACACGAAATATACGTGACGACTAAAGGTAACAGGAATGCAGCAGTGATGAAAAATAGGGCACTGTGAAATTACAATAGGTATGATGTTGTGAGAAGAATATGGAAAAGGGCCATGGTTCCTGGGCTGACGTTTGGCAATGCGGTCTTGTGCATGAGATCAGAAGTTCAAGCAAGATTAGAAATTAAGCAACGTGGAATAGGTAGGCTTGCTTTAGGAGCTCACGGGAATACACCAAATCAGGGAGTACAAGGTGATGTGGGATGGACATCATTTGAGGGCAAGGAAGCTAGCAGCAAGATAAAATTTGAGAAGCGATTGAGAGAAATGGGGGAGGAGCGTTGGGCTAGGAAGGTTTTCAGCTACTTGTACATGAAGAATGTCGATACAAAATGGAAGAAGCGAACCAGGAATTTGACTGGTAAATACTTAGAAAACATCAGGTGGCCAAACCAAAAAGAACTACCGGTTAAGAAGAAAGTGAAGGAAACGGAGACTGACATGCGGAGAATGGGCATGACTAAGAAGTCCGCACTAGAGATCTATCGAACTTTTAAGCAAGAAATTGCCAAGGAAAGGATCTATGATAATACTCGGGGTAGTTTTATACTGTTTGAGGCCAGGACGGGAGTACTGCGAACCAAGACATATCGGGCCAAATACGAAGAAGTAGACCCAGTATGCAGTGCGTGTGGAGAGGAAGAAGAAACTTCCGAACACTTGATAATGTTCTTTAAAGGGCTTCACCCTATTGTTCAGGATGATGGCGCAGAGTTTTTCAAAGCACTGGGGTTTAGGGACAGGGAGGGCAAAATAGACGTTAAGCGGGTAGAATAGTTAGAAGGAGGTTATCTGATTGGTGGCTAAAGTCAAGGCACGAGGAAAAATTAAACCCTTCACTGCAAATTACGAATCCCCAACATCACTAATTAAAGGAAAATAAAATAAATATAGCTTTTGATTTATTAAGTATTACGGCTTGGTGACGCTAGTTATCGCCCGATCTAAAGGGTACAGCCATATCTATTCATCCATCTACACTTATCTACCCATTCATCTACAGATGGATGGGTAGATCCACTTTTCCTTCCTCCGTGCATCCATCCATCATCACGGCGACAGGCGGTACCCAAGGAGGATATAAAAACTTGCTGGAGTGGAAGCGACGCCCGTCAGGTGACGCCAGCGGCAGCCATCTTGCCGGAGGCAGAAAGCGCGCTGCCGGTATGTCGCCTCCACGCTTCGTTGCTGGTGCACGCTGTTCTCTTCAAAGTTTTCAATGAGTGCAAGTCTTGCTCTTGGATAATGGTTACCTCCTGCGTTGCCTACGGATGCACAAACAGGCTGAAGAAAGGTTCTGGCCTCACATTTCACCTGTAAGTACATGAAATTTAGCGTGTTCTACTCGCGGTCATTTCAGCCGCATTGTAGTTGCTTGCAGGCCCGCGCATGAAAGAGCAGCAAAATGGCATTGTGTGTACGTGTGCCGCAGTTGATTGTCGTATATTTCTTGACAGGTTTCCAAAGAATGCAGAAGTTCGGAGTCTTTGGGAGCGGGCAGTTCGCCGTGAAGGGTGGCGCGCTAAGGATGGAGACCGCCTGTGCTCTGTACATTTCAGTCCTGAGTTCTTTGACCGCACTGGGCAAACGACGCGACTGCGGGTGGGAAGTGTGCCCACGTCGTTTCCAGCTTTTCCGCCTCATCTGCAGAAACCTGTGAGTATTACTGCCATCGTTGGACGAGAAGCGTAATGTTTAGCGTGCATAACGCTTGTGGCGTTACGGCCGCTACATAATACTTGTTCCACGAAATGTTGTTGCGGGTATACGTGGCATTGATTGCGTGCCGAGAATTGGTGGTACTGTGGAGGAGTAGCTGTAGTTTTAGCATATCGTTACCGTGTTTGCGTTACCGTTTACCGCATTACCGGACGCCGCCGGCGAAGGTCAAGTTACCGGTAATGGTAACTGCTTCACCTTCGCCTTAACTGGTGATCAAGATACATATTTATTTATTTATTGCTGCTGACCTGTTTACCAGGTCTTAAGCAGGAATGGGCATACAGCAATGTTTACTACAAAAACATTATTGACATCCACAGCATACTGACAGTGGTTACAATTCAATACTTAAAGGCACATCCGGCGAATAGAAAGTTATACCAGAGCGGGTGCATGTCCTTTTTGCTGGCATACAATGACTCGTGCACTATTATGAAAAAGCTTGTTACTTAATACATTTATTATTTCTTCAAAGAAAATGTGTAGCTTAATTGTACCCACATTATACGTGTGAGGTTTCATTTAGTTTTTGCGCTTGCTGCCTTTTTAGCTCGTCTGAGAAAACGTATGCTTTCAAACCCAGGTCAAACAGAAGCGTCCCGACCCCAAGTCTCGAGATTTCCCGGCCCCGCCTGGTCCTGAGTGTTCTGGGTTGTGCGACCTGCCTGGAGCTGAAAATTTTCCTGAAGACTCGCCAACCAAACTGTTCTACAAAGACAAGGTCCTTTCCTCACAAGAAGAGATAACCCAGTTGAAGAAGAAGGTCAAAACACTGCAACAAACTAAACGAAGGCTGGTCAAGAGAATTGAAACCGCCCAAGAAATCATCAAAGAAATCAGAGAGCAAAAACTCTTGTCAGAAGAAGGCTCACATGTGTTTTCATCTGTTTTCTCGGATGACATTCAGCAACTACTTTGCAGGGTGGGCAATGAGCAGAAGGGCAAGTACCCACCTGAGCTGCGAGCATTTGCACTGACTTTGCATTTTTACAGTCCAGCCGCGTACGAGTATGTACGATCCAAATTCAACGAAGCCCTCCCATCCCAGCGAACACTAAGGGGCTGGTACAAGTCGATTCATGGAGCTCCTGGCTTCACAGCCGAAGCATTTGCTTTCCTTGAGAAGTTTGCGGAAGCACGTGATGAACCCTTCTACTGCGCTCTCAAGCGTATATAAAGGGATTGAGAGATCCGGCTGGGCGGCCAGTTTTAGAAGGCTTGAAAAAAACTGGTTTTGTGGGCTTCTTGATCTGCATGGCGAGCACTGAAAAAATGTTCGACGAGCTTGTTGACCAGGGTAAGCTGAAGTACTTGTTGACGCACAAACTGAGCCAGGATCACGCTGAGAACTTCTTCGGATATGTTCGTGGCCGAGGTGGGTATAACAACAACCCAACCGCTGCTCAGTTCATGGCAGCATACAAGCGTTTGCTGGTGCAAACAGAAGTGACGTCTTCTAGCTCGGGAAACTGCACCAAAGACATGGTTTCCATCCTGAATGCCACTACTGTTGTCGCCCAGGTAGACGCAACAAGCGCGCTCACAGACATGCGCAGGTCCTCGATCTTGGAGCCTCACGATGACCACGACTACACGCATCCTGAAAACCTTTCTGCCGTAGTTGTTGCGGTGGTGCCTTATATCGCAGGCTTCGTTGTACGCCAAGTGTGCAAGACAACAACATGCGAAGAGTGCATTGCAGCCCTGTACTCAGATGAGCTAGTTCCCCTAGTTGAGCAGAAAAACAGAGGTGGGCTTGTGTCCCCGTCCAAGGATGTCATTGGCTTGTGTGAAGCCGTTGAAAAGGGGCTGCGACGGCTACAGATTGAGTGTGGAACACTTCAAGCAGTTAACTCCCAGTCAAAGCATCTCGTTTTGGAAGTGCTACGACTGTCTGTAGAGGAAAAATGGTTTCAGAAGCTAGAGCAGCACATTCTTGACCTTGATCCCCTCGACAATCATATCTACAGCTTGTGCAAAAAAGTTGCGGAGCTGTATGTGAAAATCCGCATCCACCATATGACAAAAGAAAGAAACCGCGAGATCATCAAGGACAGGGTCAGGCCAGTTCTTTCAAGAATGATCATTTTCAAACATCAGTGAGTCTTCCCGCACTGCTCGTTTCGGCTATACTGTTCGCATATATTTTTAATGTTTGTGTGATTGTGTTTTTTCTGCCACTTTCGAGTTTCTCAAAGCGTTATCGTAGGCCATTTCGCCACCAAAAAGCAAAGAATAAATGCTTACAACCTGACACAACTGTTTTTATTGCTTTGAAGACGCGAGAAACTGCACCTGCTGCTTAGATAAGCGCGAGCGCAGCTGTACTCGGCTGTTTCTTGCTTCTGCCAAGATGGCCGCCGGCGGCTCGGCGCGGCTTCACCCCCTCCCATGGGTAAGCATAGGCGGCTTCCACTCCAGCAGGTTTTTATATCCTCCTTGGCGGTACCAGTGCGTTTTTCATCTGCGGCCCATAGGGGCGCGCCAGTCAGTCAGAGTTGTTTGAGACCTGCAACTGGGCATCACTATTTCGGAGGCTATGCAAAGTGTTGCGTTGTAGCACCGTCCGCCACAAGTGACGCTAGCGACCGATAACATTTTAAAATGAAAAAAGGAAAGGGTGTGGCAGCTGTTTTTCTGCTCATGCGGCAGGCATCTTCCTAGAGGAGGCGTTAACCAAGTGAATATGGCCGCCATGATGTCATTTCCGCCACACTTTTCACGCCCCGCGCCGGCCGGCTGGGCATGCCCTCTCCTACCTTTCCTTCCTCCGTGGGCAGGGCGTTCGTGGCTCACGTTTTAGGAGGCGTTGACCCATGTGGCTTTGTCTAGGGAAAACCAGGGAAGATGCGGTGGATGCGGCGCTCAGCAGACAACGGGCTGCATCAAGGAGGTCAGCGATAGCTTGATGACCGCGCCCGGCGCCAGCGCAAGAGGCACACCAACGCAGGTATGCCACAGAGCTCCTCGTTCGCCCCACCACTCGGTGACGCGTGTGTGTTTCGTCATCTCCGAGCCATCTTCTCAATGTGTTTTCCATTGGTTTGGCGTCTAAGTGTTCTGTCGTGGCGCCGCGCGCGCGCTCTGCTGCCGCAGTAGTAAACAGCTAGTGGTCGGCCCCTTTTAAGGAGGAGCTTAAAAAAAGTGTTTGCTGTCGAAACGCCGTGATCATTCAGCAAACAATTGCATGACTGGTTGACATTGCAGATCCTGACAAACAGCACCAAGCGATTGTAGCGCATATACTTCGATGGTCGGTCAACACATCCGAGTGGTGACCAACAAGAATGCTGCCGCGTTCACTTGTATTCGTGTATACGCGCAGATTTTACTGCTTATATTGCGCGCGGGCTGATCGTGAAAGCTTTTGCACTTTTGTCTCAAGTGAAGATGTTCGCAGCTAAGAGTTGCCTGCTGTCACGGAGAGCTATCGATGTACTATGCCATATGATCGCCCACGAACGCCCCAGAAAACGCGAGTTTATGAAAGCTGCAATGCTGGTGGTTAGATTTACGAACTGCCTCAGACTATTGCACAGGTCGTGCTTTTTCACGCACACCTTAATTTTCCACTAAGTTCAAACCTAGGAGCAACAGACCTATGGTTTCTTTGGCTTGGTTTAACAAAAAATAACTGTTGATCACTTCACTGCATGCCTTTCGGTAGCATATGCAAAGCTTTATTGGCCAGCTGCCAAAAAATAAATGAAAGTGTCCTACATAGTTACGACGGCCGCGAGTGGCGCTCGATAACACTGGTCACATATTGAATTATACAAAAATTTTGACGAGGCAAGGATTACTGTCGCTGCTTAGTTGGTTGAGTGTGATAATGTATTTGCTTGGGTTTTTTCATTCACTATCAATAAATTTCCTTCAGTCCCGTAAGTGCCAAGCTTTAGTGAAGTACTGCAAATAGGTCTGAATCACCTCTTGGCTTTATGTTGAACGATAAACACCAGGCCTGCACAAAACATGCAGCACAGTCGCAGTGAAAGCTGAGGAGGGGGGGGGCCTTCCTAGAACCTGTGATGGGGATAAAAATATTTTAATTTAAAAGTAAGGAAAATGAGGAAGATGCCTATCCCGGGACACCTATGACAACCTCTGTGACAGCCTGGTATCACTGGAAAAGCACCCGACACACTTTGGGGGGAGGGGGGGGGCTGTTGTGGAGGGTCTTTCCCCCTGCTCTTGGGTACGGGTGGACTGAAGAATCAGTGAAAAGGGAGAGAAGTAGGCAGCAGTGCACTCTACGGTGACGTGAAAGGCTGTAGGGATATAGCATCACATCCTGGACAGGCATCAGTATACTTAGTTAAGTATATGGTAAATTCTGTTGGAGTGCCTACTGCAAAACAGGGTGCCCACTATGCCATAAAGCGCCATCACCTTGTGAAGTAAAGAAATGGCCCATATCATGATTCGTTTTGCATAGTAGTCTGTTTCACTCTTTGGGGAAATCTCGGATCGCATAACACATGGTGAGTCCAACGCTGTACTTGCGTGCTGCTATAGCAGATGACATGGTTCAATATTATGGCCCTTCAAGTGTCTGCACATGCACGAGCTGAAACCGGCACTTCACTGCAGCGCTGGCGACACCACAATTCATGCGTTCGGAGATTTCCCCTAAGTGTGAAACAAACTGTACCTGCTATGCACCTATAAGGCATTATATGCACATTGGTGGCTATGCACTTTGTTGATACTGTGGCTCATAGTAAGGAATCATGGCAGAGCCCTTTTGTGGAAAGCTACAAACCACCCGCACATCTCACAATTCATGTTGTATTGTCTTATACTTTTGCATATGGTCAGTTTTTAAAGGTCATCGAAACACCACAACTTTATCGGCTCAATAGAGTTGCGTGCTCCCACACATTTTGGGGAGCTACGGATTTTTATTGATGCCCCTGTAAGGTAAATAATATAAATCCTCTTAGAATCGTGAATATGTGTCTAGTTTTTTATTTAAACATTTGAATAAGTTATTCATGCATAATTTGCAAGTACGTCACTCCACGGAACTTTAGGATACGATCTCGGACACCACCGAGCACATGACTGCAGAGTTGAGTTGTGCAGCTCTCAAATTTGACGTCAATGCTGTACATTGCAATGGGGATTTGTGTGGTATTTATCTGCCGCATGAGAAGTAAGTGTAGATGAGATGAAACAGCACCACAAGTGGAGACGCACAGTTTCAAAGCTGCCCACGAACCTGTATGGCCGCCTGAAAGCAGTCTAAAAAGCAGAGCACATGACTTATGTGCACATAAAAAAAAAAAGCTCCAAAACTTTAACACATGATCGCCATTGTTACTTCATAACAGACAAGTTATGTTTACGAATCTTGTGTGATGTTATTTCATCCATTATTCGTCCCACCATAGACTCTGGCACAGCAGGCATAGAGAATCCGAGTTCCCTAGTCAACACTGCGTTGCTGCTGGCTGGATAATGTCCTAAGCACTTCTCCTTTGTCATGAGCACAAGGCAAACAGTCCAAGCATGCGCCCTACACCAAAAGATCTGTTGCACGAGTGTAAACATGGTGTAGTCACTGAGACGTATCTGCTTTGTGATCTCGGCGATGGCAGATGGAAGATGGGAACTGACTTCACTTGCAAGTTATGTATACGTAGGTACAAATACATGTTTTTTTTTTAGTTATTGAACAGCGAACGTGCGGCCGGCAAAACTCCGCACGACAGTATGCACGTCGCTGTTGGTGAGAGTATCTGAAATTTGCACATTTCAAGTGGTAAAAATACTTCATTAAATTATTTGTACCACTCAAACCATGGTGGAACAAATATTTTTGGTGAGCGAACGCCAGGGCTATCTGCTCTGCAACTAGGTTCTGATTCGTCAGCAGCCTGAGAGATGGCACTACCAACTTCAACCCGGTGCGACTGGTACAGTGCCCTGATAACACATGGTGATAACACATTTAAAATGCACGTCATATTTATATTCAAGTAATTTGTACAAGACTTGCTAATCTCTTATAATGTTCAGTCAGTAGGTGAGCACTGTTGCAGTACTGTCACTGAGGCAAAGCACTCCTGTTTGTCAAAAATTTACTATCATAGTGATTTCATTTTGAATGAACAGAATGCAGGAGTATCCCTTTTCTTTCGATCGTTTGCGCAGGTAAGAAACCCAAGCACTAATTCAAATTAATTCAGAAACTCACAATGCCCTACTGGATATGCAAAGTTGGAAGTCCAAGAACATTAAAGTTTGCAACTAGAATTAAACAATCGTGCCATTGTTGGTATCAGTTTATTGAAGAAGTGTCCCGGTATTTTGGGTCCTTTCAGGGCTTTCCAATAACCAAAATAAATCTCACGTAAACGACTCCTATCACTGTGAACAAAGCTATGCAAACTAGCATCCAAGCCTGTGAGGATAGAGCACGATTTGGTGTTGCAGGATAAGTTTTCTCAAATAAGGTGAATAATACTGGTGTCACACGGGCACCTTTAATCACGATCAGGGTGATCCGTGTCGGTTTTCTTGATCGGGATCAACTTTATGACTTCTGCTACACGGCCCAAGCTGATCTCGTTCGAGCTTGGATCAGACGAAATGCAGCAGGTGGCGCTTCCGTGCCATAAAACACGTCACTGACAAAACTCTGTGTACAATATTTCTATAGAGCCATTTATCAGCAATGTCATTTGTGCTAGAACTGCTCGAACGTCATATACATTGTGTGCCACTACAACATTAATTCAGTAGATCCATGATTCGATAAAATTTTCGTCGCACTGACTTGTATTGCTGTGTGGGATTCTTAACCTTCGCTTTTATTCCGGCTGCCCCTGCTCGTAGCCGTCCAGTCGCAGCGAAGCGTCAATGTTGTTGTACGCACCAGAGTTTTGCTTCTGGCGCCTCAAGTCATCCAGTCATTCGTGTCAGCGGTCGTTTATTGTAAAGGTCTCTTCGTTCGGCCTCAAAGGGTGTGTACGTTGCGACAAAGTAAAAAAGCTGGTGGCACTCATAATACATTTTCTTCTGGGTGCTCTAACTGCTCCGACGGTGCGAGAGTGGAACTAAGCGCAGAAGGCAACGGCCATCTGCTTGTCGTCTGCTTCTACCGTAACTATATAAGGTCGATACGAATTCTAACATATGCAATATTTCAGATATTTTTCTAATTTATACAGTTTATATTTAGCTTTTCTATAAACATTTAGCTGTTTTGAAATGTTTTTATTGAACTATGCTCGATTTGCTTGTTTATTGAGCTTTTAACAAGCTCGGCCAGGGCGTGCAGACGACAGTGAAATCGCGATCTCTCAGGTAAATCGCGATGCCCGGAACGCTATAGTGTTGATCCCAATCACACCTGATCATGATTAAAAGTGACCGTGTAGCAGAACCTAATCCAGATCGTGGTTAATCCAGATGGACACTGATCGCCATTAAAAGTGCCCGTGTGACACCGGTATAAGTGGGCATTGCTACTGCTTGACTATAAACTTTGTTCAAGTGAAGAAAAAATCAAAACGATGTGTAAATATTTTCAACACGATACGTTACCTACACAGACAAGTTATAGTTTAAATAATACGAGGTAAACAAAATAAAGTATTTCCTACACTAGCTTTGACATTTTTCGGCTTTCTCATTTTCGGAAGTCGACAATACTGGTGCTTGTGATTACATATGCTTACTGGAGCAGATATTCATCGGCAGACCTTTGGCCATTCACTGTGCTTTCTGTAAGCGAACAAGGCTGGGTTTCTTCACAGTGCTTTCCAAGTGGAAGTGTGTAGGGTTGCTTGTGGCATGTCTGCCATATTATTTTCTTTCAAGAGCTCTTGATCTTTTCTTATAGGTAGCCCAGAGTTTTTTCGAAAATAGATGGCACAGTGTCTTTAGTGAGCCCAGCCTTCCCCTTTTGCGACATTAAAACATGACCATTTCTCTCAGCAG